TGCTGCCACCAGCAGCATCAGACTGCGCCAGAGTCACGCCGATGGCTAGCGACTCCCGTTCAGAGCGGGGCTCTCGCTGTGTATGCCCATGCACCTTCTGACCCTACCCCGTCGCGTGCCACCTGCCCTCGAGAGCCCTCAGCATCGCAGCTTGGGCCTCTCGGGACCTTCTTGGGTCCGCTTGGTGCGCTCTTGGGCGGTCGTGGGGCCGTCTTGGGGGCCTCTTGGGCCTCTCTTGGAGCTCTCTTAGGTCATCCTGGGTCCATCTTGAGGCCGCAAACAGCATCGAAAGCGGAAAGGCGAGAAGGCAAGACTCATTGATGTCCTTTTTGCTTTGATCGTGTCAGGAGTTTGGCCTCGTGGGGAAGTCCTGAGGGGGCTCGGAGAGCACTTGGAGCCATCTTGTGATCATCGTGGGGGCCTCTTGGAGGGATGTCGGACGCCGTCTTGAACCATCTTCGGCTCTTTGAGCCATCTCAGGAGCAATGATCGTGCATCGGGCATCCGCTTGGAGCCATCTTGCGCTGTATTGGGAGCTCCGACGGCTCGCGGGACCCTCAACAAGGACCTCGGGGAGGGGGGAGTGCTCCCCTCCCCTCCCCGAAGGTAAGAGGGGTTTTGGAAGAGGAAATAATAAGATCGTCAGACCACCTACGTCCAGATGTCTGGTGGGATTCTGCATGTGGGAGCTCCCCAAGTTCCCATCGATGACGACAGTTCTGGGCTTGCGACTGCTGCAGCGCCGGGCTTTGGTGTGCTGAGCTTGACAGAAGGACCGAGGTGGACTCAGGTGAACCGGGCTGGATTGAGCTCGCCTCAGATGGGCCGGGCTGGACATAATTGGATTAAGCTCGGCTGAGCTGGACCGGGATCTGAGCAGGAGCGCGACCTGGGAACTGGTTCTCAATCTTTTTTTTTTGTTCTCTCTCTCTCTCACTCTTCCTCCATCCGTGTCGTTTCCACTGTTTCGTTGACGTCTCTCTTTATCTCGTCCATATTGCAACTTTAGTGTTCAATCTGTTGACTCTAACTAATTATAAACGCTTCGCGTATCCCCACCAGCCCGTCCAGAAATGAGTCCCAGGGGAGTGGAGGTGATGAGGGAAGCGGGGGAGCATGCAGAAGAACAAAGGGCGGGGTAAGCCGCCATATACCCCAAGAGGGGGAGGATGTAGGAGTCGTCGTCGTCGTCGTCGTCGTCGTCGTCGTCGTCGTCGGAGTAGGAGGAGGAAGAGAAGGAGCAGGAGGAGGAGCAGGAGGAGGAGGGGGAGGAGGAGGAGGAGGAAGATGAGGAGGAGGAAATGGAGGAGGGCGAGGATGTGGAGGACGAGGAGGAGGAGGAGGAAGAGGGAGGAGGAGGAGGGGCGAGGAGGAGGAGGAGGAGGATGAGGAGGAGGAGGAGGAGGAGGAGCAGAGGGAGGGGGAGTATCGGAAGGAAGGAAAAAGCAGGCGTTGGAGGAGGAGGCGGAGGGGGAGTGAGGAGGGAGGAGGAGGGAGGAGGAGGAGGAGGAGGAGGAGGAGGAGGAGGAGGAGGACAATGGCTGAGCTTGGGGCCATTTGGGCCGTCTTTGGTGCCTCTGGCGGTCCCCCCCCTCTTCTCTTTCCTCCCCCCTCCCCGGGGGGCTTTGCGTATCTAGGGGGCTCTTGGGGCCTCTTGGGGGTCTCTTGGGAGCCTCTTGGAGGCCTCCTGGGCGCCTCTGGGGCCTCTTGGGGCCCTTCTGGGGCTTCCTTGGGGCCCGCTATTGGGAGCCTTCGGGGCCTCTTGGGGCCATTGTTGAGGAGATGTATCAAAGAAGGGTGGAGTCAAAGAAGGGTGGGTGGCCAATTAGCCCTGCCCCTCTAGAGTGCCTCGAATCGCCTCTCGGGCCCCAAAAGAGGCCAACATCCTCCCAACACCTAGGGAAATCAATGTTTTCTTGCTCTCTCGCCTTTTCGCTCTTGGAGCCGTCTTGGGCCATCTTGGACGCCCCAACGACCCGCGGAACCCCCCGTCCAGGTCCAGGGGAGGGGGTAGGGGGAGGGGTAAACCCCTCCCCGAAAGGGAAGAAGGGGGTTGGAAGATGAAACTCTCTAGACCACCGACGCCCAGAGGGCTGGTGGGATTGATGCTGTAGTCTTATCCTCCTCTTTCTATATCATATTTTCGTTTCCTATCTCTCTCTCTTGCTCTCTATCCCCCCTGTCATCTCGCCTCCTCTCATCTCCCTCCCTCCCTTGCCCCCCCTCCTTTCTCAGAGAGCTCCTCGCCTTGCTCCCACTTCGTCACCTCCCTCCCTCCACAGTCGCGACCGATGGTCAGGCTGGTCCTGCAGAGCACGGGGGGCCCTGACGTCGTCTGTTTTGTGATAGTTCATCCCCTGGTCGGTGGAGCGCACCACGCGCCATGTGCCCTCTGGCCTTTCGTGACATGACGCCCTCGGGAGAAATGAGCCCTGCGCCCACTCGGGTGTCCTCTGTCTTCGGTCGCGGATGCATTCATGTGAGTAGGCACGTCGAGGGAGAAACTGGCCCGCCAGCAGGTGCCCCGCGTGAGTCTCTTATCCCGCAATGGCCTTGAGGGCAAACATAAGCCATTGGGCACCTCAGGAATTTCAGATCTCGGCGAAGAGCCTGCCTCCACCTTCCTTATAGCAGCTTCTGTTTCCTGTCGTGCCGTGTGCGTCTACAGTCCGCCCGCATAGTAAGGCTGGACAACCCTCCCAAGGGTACCCTTGCATCCTTGCCTCCTGGGTCCATCCTTCGCCACTTTCTTTGGCCGCGCCCCACTCGAAAAGATTCGAACTGGGCGTCCAAAGCGCTTGCATCCTTATCGCGCATTCTTCTGGTACGGGCCGCCTGTACTGTACGTGTCTCTCTCTCCCTCTCTCTCTCACGCTCTTTCTACTCTGGTTTTCTCCGTTCTCTCTCTCTCTCTCTGTCTGCCAATCTCTCTCTCGCTGCCTCTTCTCTTCCCGAACTCTGCCCCTCTGTCGCTCGTCGCTCGCAGATGGCCCGACCGCGGCCGCCAGGTGGGCTCCGACCACCCCATCGCCACGCAAACGATGACCACCACCCTCACCGAGGACGTTGAGGCGCGGGCCCCGTAGGAGCGAGGTGGTGCAGAGGGATAGGGGTAGGGAGGAGGAGGAGGTGGAGGAGGAAGAGGAGGATGAGGAGGAGGAGTAGGAGGAGGAGAAGGAGGAGGGGGAGGAGGAGGAGGAGGCGGAGGAGGAGTGGAGGAGGAGGAGGAGGAGGAGCGTGGAGGAGGAGAAGAGGAGGATGAGGAGGTGGATGGAGGAGAGGAGGAGGAGGAGGAGGGAGGAGGGAGGGGAGGCAGGATGGGGAATGAGGGATGAGGGAGGGAGGGAGGAGGGAGGAGGGCGGAGGGAGGAGGGAGGAGGGAGAAGGAGGAGGGAGGAAGGAGGAGGGAGTTGGAGGAGGGAGGAGGGAGGAGGGAGGCGGCGAGGAGGGTGGAAGGAGGAGGGAGGAGGGAGGAGGGAGGAAGGGAGGAGACGAGGAGGGAGGAGGTTGAGGATGGGGCGGAGGGAGGAAGGGTAGGCGGGAAGGCGGGAGGCGGGAGGCGGGGAGAGGGAGGAGGGAGGAGGGAGGAGGGAGGAGGGAGGGAGGGAGGAGGGAAGGGGGGGAGGAGGGGAGAGGAGGCGGAGGGGAGGGGGGAGGGAGGGGGGGGGGAGGGAGGGAGGGAGGGAGGGAGGGAGGGAGGAGGGAGGGAGGGAGGGTATGAGGGGAGGGAAGGGAGGGAGGGAGGGAGGGAAAGGAGGGGAGGGAGGGAGGGATGGGGAGGAGGAGGAGGAGGAGGAGGCGGAGGCGGAGGCGGAGGCGGAGGAGGCGGAGGAGGAGGAGGAAGGGGAGGAGGAGGCGGGGAGGAGGAGTAGGAGGAGGAGGGGAGGACGAGGAAGGGATGAGGAGGATGAGGAGGAGGAGGAGGAGGAGGAGGAAGAGGAGGAGGAGGATGCAGGGGGAGGAGGCGGAGGGGAGGAGGAGGAGGAGGAGGAGGAGGATGAGGAGGGGAGGAGGAGGAGGAGGAGGAGGAGGAGGATGTGACGGAGGAGGAGGAGGAGGGGGAGGGGGGTACGGCCGACCAGCATCACTTCCCAGCCACCCCCCCCGCCCCCTTCGGATGCACCCCCAAGCGGCGAGTCCCCAGCTTCTGTTTTCCTGCTGCTTATGCTTCGGCTTTGCGACGCCCCCGAATGACGTTCAACGTATTGGATTGTAGACTCCCAGGATGAACAGAAATAGCAACCATTCTGAGAAGGCGGGGATTTAAAAAAAAAAAAATTTGAGGGGGGAGGCAGAATTTTCAAAATTTTTGAAAATTTTAAAAATCTTGCTATTTTGCCTGATCCCTGATTTCCCAGATCCTGGGCCCAAGTTGCGATCCGAGGGCCCAGGGCCCAGGCAAAATAGCAAAATTTTTAAAGAAATTTAAAATTTTCTGAAAATTTTGCTATTTTGCCTGATCCCTGATTTCCCAGATCCTAGGCCCAAGTTGCGATCCGCTGGCCCAGGGCCCAGGCAAAATAGCATATTTTTTTTTTAATATATTTTTTAAAAAAAAAATGTTGCTATTTTGCCTGATCCCTGATTTCCCAGATCCTGGGCCCAAGTTGCGATCCGAGGGCCCAGGGCCCAGGCAAAATAGCAAGATTTTTAAAAATTTTAAAAATTTTCAAAATTTTGCTATTTTGCCTGATCCCTGATTTCCCAGATCCTGGGCCCAAGTTGCGATCCGAGGACCCAGGGCCCAGGCAAAATAGCAGATTTATAAACATGTTTCAAATTTGTAAGAAGTTTGCTGTTTGCCTGATCCCTGGTTTTCCATATCCTGGGCCCGGACGTCTCTCCCAGGGCCCAGGGACCAGGCAAAATAGCAGATTTAAGAACAACGAATAATTGTTTGTTTCTGTGTTACCTGATCCCTGGTGTTCCAGATCCCTTGTAGTGAGAAGGCGGTGTTAACAGTGAGATGTGATGGCGTCGTCCAGCCGCGCTGCCGCATG